TACATGTCAGTAAATATTGCAGGGCTGGGACTTTCACCTAGTCTGACAACAGAGTATACTGTGCTATGGTGGCCTTTCGTATTGTGTGTAAAATCTGTCAGCTGAGTTTTATTGTCTTAAAACAGTGGTCCTTGGAAAGTGGGCCACATAAAGCTTTTTCTGAATGGATAAAACAAAGTTGTGTAAAGTGTAATTGATTAGCTTTCACCCAGTTTTGCCTGCAGTCCATCACTTCTCTGTAAAAAAAAAAAAAAAAAAAAAAAAAAAAAAAATACCATGAATGACAATCATTTCCAATTGAAAACCTATAGATTTTTAGTGCCAAATAAATCTGAAAGATCATATACTTGTTCATTTATGTGCCCTGTCTGTGGCTGTAGCCCTCAAGAGTACTCTGTGTAGTCATCTCAAAAAGTATTTAGAGGTAGTAGCTCTTGTTTTGTCCTTGTATGTTTCATAGGCTTGCCTTTATGAAATGCCTTACAGCTTCATCCACCTAGTTAACTTCTTCTTTACACTTGGTTTTCACAGCTGGTCCTTTTTATTTAAAAAAAAAAAAAAGTCTTTGGCTTTGAAGTATTTAAAGTTTTTTTTAAAGCCTCATTTTCTTCTCTGACAAATTTTATAGTTGACATTTTCTGAGTCATTTAAGGTAAATTGCTCTTTTGGAAGAAACTGACTCAAAACGCACTTTATTTCAATTTGGAAAAAAAAAAACTTAATTTTTGTCTTACCTTCATATTTAGTCAGTTTTTGTTTTTTGTTTTTTTTTCCAAAGACAGAGTCTGGCTCTGTCACATAGGCTGGAATGCAATGACACCATCAGGGCTCACTGCAGCCTCGACCTCCCAGGCTCAAGTGATCTTCCCACCTCAACCTCCTGAGTATCTGAGACCACAGGTGTGCACTACCACGCCCAGCTAATTTTTAAATTTTTTCTGTAGAAATGGGGTCTTGCTACATTACCCAACCTGCTCTCAATCTCCTGGGCTCAAGCAACCCTCCCAACTCAGCCTCCCAAAGTGCTGGGATTGTAGGCATGAGCCACCATGCCCAGCCTATCAGATTTAGTCAGATTTTTAAAAATATCTGCATGTATTGGATATCGTCCAATCACCTTAAAATTGTACTAAATGGGCGGGGCACAGTGGCTTATGCCTGTAATCCCAGCATTTTGGGAGGCCAAGGCAGGCGGATCATGAGGTCAGGAGATGGAGACCATCCTGGCTAACATGGTGAAACCCCGTCTCTCCTAAAAATACAAAAATTTAGCCAGGCCTGGTGGCAGGTGCCTGTAGTCCCAGCTACTCGGGAGGCTGAGGCAGGAGAATGGCATGAACCCGGGAGCCGAGATCACCCCACTGCACTCCAGCCTGGGCGACAGAATGAGACTGTCTCAAAAAGAAAAAAACTGTACTAAATGGAAATCTGCGTAGATTATTCTGTATTCAGTGTATAAAAACCTTAGGAAAAAATGATAAAATTAAGAATTTAAGATCCAACAAACCTCTTTTTAACTTCTTTCCTCACAGGCACCCCCAAGATGGTTTCTTGTTAATTATTCTAAATACCTTTATGTGTTGGCATTAAGTTGTAACTTTTTAGGATCCACTATTCTTTTTGCTTTTTTTCCCCCCTGAAGTTACTGAGCTTCAGCAAGATCCCTGTTCTCTCCCCTTCAGGGCTTTGTTTTCTGGAACTTGACATTCTCAAATCATTGCCAATTATTTTTAGTATGTGATTAGCCTCCCTTCCTCAGGTATGTTTTCCCCAATTTGGATTGAATCTACTGTTTGAATCTTGTTTCCCATCCTACCTTCATACAGATTGTGTGGAAAGGCTGTGGGATATTAGAGAAGCCAGTGGAGTTCCCCTCTGCTGTGGCAATGTTGACACCACAGAGCACAGTCCTAGGACCCTTACCACTGTGAGGAAGGAGTTTGGAGTTAGCACTTCCCCAGGGGATGACGCATTCCGCAGAAGAGGCCCCATGTCTCTAATCCTGGACTACTCCCTTCTACCATCCCCAAAATGTTAGTTGGGTTAGCCACAAGTTTTTTATAGCATAGTGGTCAAGAAACTATGATAATCCAGAGTATGAATTTCTATACAACCTTTAAATGCATGAGGTAGTTATATATATACTGATACAGAAGGTTGTGGTATTAAAAAGAGCAAATCATAGAACAGTATTTATGGCTTCATTCTAGTTAGATTTAAAGAAAAACGGCCAGGCGCGGTGGTTCATGCCTGTAATCCCAGCACTTTGGTAGGCTGAGGCGAGCGGATCACGAGGTCAGGAGTTTGAGACTAGCCTGACCAACATGGTGAAACCCTGTCTCTACTAAAAATACAAAATTAGTCAGGCATGGTGGTGTGCACCTGTAATCCCATGTACTCAGGAGGCTGAGGCAGGAAAATCATTTGAACCTGGGAGGGAGAGGTTGAGTGAGCCGAGATCACACCATTGCACTCCAGCCTGGGCGACAGAGTGAGACTCCATCTCAAAAAAAAAAAAAAGAAAAAAGAAAAGAAAAAGCTAGTTTATAAGTATATAGTAACAGATGTGGGAACAAACATATGAAGCTTTTAAGAGGTTATTTCTGGGAAAGGGATGGGCTAGGTAGAGCAGAAGAGGAACTTTCACATTCCATAGGCCTGTGTAGCATTTAGGTTTTAGAAATGAATGTGTATATTTTTAAGTTTCTAGATAAATATATTTTTAAATAAGATACTTTATGATTTCAAATAAATACTCTAGTGGCACAATCATCTGAGCTACTGCCCAGAGCCACACCTGTCCGAAAACCTTGCATTGTTTACCTCTTTTCACCTGAAATATTCTAACAGCACCTTATCAGTGAAATTTCTGTGAGAGGACCCAGAGCATAGCTTCTTAAATGTTGCTTTTTCATCTTTCTCACAAACCAGCATAATTTATAAGATCTGTAGAAATTCATTCCAGAGACCCTTTAAAGAGTTATTCCTATTTCTGATTTCTGTTTCCTCTATTCTTTTAAGCATTGAAATCTCGTAGTTATCCACCCTCTAAAGCGAATCATACTCTGATCCGCACAGTAATGGCAATGTTATTACTTCGACTCTGCTGGTTTAGAACGTGTTCTTTTAAAAAGTTATTTCCAACTGGTCCTTGCATCATGCTCCTACCTATATACTTCAGTCACATCCTTTTCAGTACAACCTCCAAATTTTGAAGACAGCCCAAGTGGTTTGGGGAAACCAAGAACATCTGTGGTATCACTTGGCCCAGCCATTGCTGTCTTAATAGCGAAAACATCTGTTGCCTCTCATTTCTTTTCTCTCTCCTTTTCTTTCTCCTCTCTTGTTCCATCCCATTCCATTCTTCTCTCTCCCTTCCCTTTGCCTCCTCCCTCTTTATGTATATTTTATTACATATGATTATATATACATATATATGTACATATAAAGACTTTCTGTCTCCATTTATCTTTTTTTCTTCTATGTTTCCCCTGTAGCAGTAATCAAACTGGGAAAATAATAAAAAGAATTTGCCATTAATCTGTCTAAAATAATGGAAGTAGGCTGGGCACAGTGGCTCACACCTGTAATCCCAGCACTTTGGGAGGTCGAGGTGGACAGGTAACCTGAGGTCAGGAGTTTGTGGCCAACATGGTGAAACCCCATCTCTACTAAAAATATAAAAACTTGCCAGGTGTGGTGGCAGCACCTGTAGTCCCAGTTACTCGAGAGGCTGAGGTAGGAGAATTGCTTGAACCCGGGAGGTGGAGGTTGCAGTGAGCTGAGATCAAGCAACTGCACTCCAGCCTGGGTGATAGAACGAGACTCCTCAAAAATGAGTAAATAAATACATAAAATAATGGAAGTAATATTTCTCTCCTAATTCCACTGAATTATAAATTTTGTTTATATTATTCCTGGCCAGTGCTTAGGGTATGAGGAATTAATTGTAACTAGCCAAATATTGTATAGAGACTACATACTAGCATGGTCTATTCCTTATGTGGCCTATTCTCCAGATGTCAGCCTGTTTGTTGTTTTTTTTTTTTTACTTTTTGCTACCAGCCCATGTAAGTCTCCTGTTTCTAAATCTTTACTTCCTTCCAGAATCTAACCAGATTTTATCACCTTCATGAAGAACTGGTTCTTTCATTAGGTTTTTTGATGATAAACATACTGTATGGGATGAGAATGGCCATCCATGAATTCCTGGAGGGCAGGAACTATTCCTTATTCATCTTTATTCTCCTAGTCCAGCGTGGTACCTGGCACAAGGTGCTTAGTCAGTATTTTCAGGCAAAGAAATTGGTGGATCTTATTCTGAACTTTGTAACGGACATGTGCAACAAACTGATCTTTGTGAAAATACAACTTTTGTGATATCAATTTGCCTTTCCCAAAACAAAGCCTTGCTTACATAACAGAAACACTTTGTAACAACTTTATGAATTCTGTCAATTCTTGAGTGAGCTTCCAATGGGGAACTCTATCCTTTTATTCTCCTTGATATCAAATGGTGCTATCATATTTGTATCTTAAAACTTGTTAAATTATCCTGTGGGTTTAAAGCAAGGAGACAATTCATTTTTTTAAAGATTTTTCTCTTTTTAACACCTATCTCTTACACAGAAAGACAACTGATTTTTTTATGATAAAAGGAGCCCTTGAAAAAAAAAAACACACACATCCTTCTAATGTATTTCTATATACCTAGAAAAAACTATACATGTGGTTTTAAAAAAAATCAATGATAACTCCTCTGGTCTATAAGAGTATGGTTTGACAATCAACTTTGTAATAGAATGATAAAAAGAAATTATTGATTGATTGCTAATTCTGTTATCCAAAGCTGTCTCTTGGTATTGGAAACCCATAAAAATAACCAAAGATGATTCTCCATTAGAATCCTCCTAATATCTATAAAATCAGACTAAGAAAGTTTGAGTAATTAAGTGGTCAAGAATATTCTATTCATTTTCCTTTTTCTCATTTTCTTTTAGAACTGCTATTGGATGACCAGAATTCCCTGTAGTTGATAATGTTGGGAATAAGCTCTGCAACTTTCTTTGGCCTTCAGTTGTTAAAAACAAATAGGATGCAAATTCCTCAACTCCAGATTATGAAAACAGTACTTGGAAAACTGAAAACTACCTAAATGATCGTCTTTGGTTGGGCCGTGTTCTTAGCGAGCAGAAGCCTTGGCCAGGGTCTGCTGTTGACTCTCGAAGAGCACATAGCCCACTTCCTAGGAACTAGAGGTGCCACTACTACCATGGGTAATTCCTGTATCTGCCGAGATGACAGTGGGACAGATGACAGTGTCGACACCCAGCAGCAACAGGCCGAGAACAGTGCAGTACCCACTGCTGACACAAGGAGCCAACCACGGGACCCTGTTCGGCCTCCGAGGAGGGGCCGAGGACCACATGAGCCAAGGAGAAAGAAACAAAATGTGGATGGGCTAGTGTTGGACACACTGGCGGTAATACGGACTCTTGTAGATAAGTAAGTATCTGACTCACAGTCACCTCCAGTGGAATGAAAAGTGTTCTGCCAGGAGCCATGACTTTAGGACTCCTTCAGTTCCTTTAGGACATACTCGCCAAGCCTTGTGCTCACAGGGCAAAGGAGAATATTTTAATTCTCCTCTGATGGCAGAGTGAATGAGATTTGATGTTTTTGCTTGCTGTCATCTACTCTGTCTGGAAATGTCTAAATGTTTCTGTAGCAGAAAACACTAATTAAAGCTATGATCTTTATTAGAGAATAGAATAAATATGGAGTGAGTTTATGTTGCTAGCTACAACAGGAAATGGTTTCATGTAGGCTCACTGTTAATGGTACATGCCTGTCTATTCTACTGACCTCAGATTCAAGATAAGCTGTTTTACCGAGAACATGGCTACAGGCAACTTCTCTTGGCAACATAAGGACCAAGGTCAAGGAGAGTTTTCATTATCGTTTATTTGATCCTTTATTTATCCCTTATTTGACTATCTTTAATCCATTTAGGAAGCTTGTCAGTTGAAACTTCAAGGCACACCTGTACCTGTTTTGTCTTTTCCTCTGCTTTGTCTACCTCTAAATACAAAATCCCAGATTGAATAACAGTGAAATTAAAGGGCATCATTCAAGTGGAAAAAAACATTTAAAGTTGTATAGTTCAGTAGTTAAGAGCACAAAGCTTAGAACCATGATGGGCCTGGCTCAACTGCATGACATTGGGTAAGTTACTTCTTGAAGCCTCAGATTCCTCATCTGTAAATGGGGACATAATACTGTTCCCACAAAGATTATCATGAGATAATGTACATAAGGCATTTAGTGTGGAGCTTTGTACTTAACAGTTGCTCAGTAGTTGGTAGTATTTTTTAAAAAGTTACTTAGGTGTTCTTTTTGCTTCAGGCCCTGCTAGTAAATTTAAGTATATAAACATTTGATAATCACGTTTATAGAAACCTAGTTTCGTTTAGTTCCTCAAAAATTAAGCATAAAACAGAGTGTATCTGTGAATACAAATGAATTTTTAGAGCTGTATTAAACTTTTCCATAAAATACTGGAGCATTTGTTAGTCTTCTAGAAGAGTAATTTTTTGGCCAGACACAATGCCTCCTACCTCTAATCCCAACACTTTGAGAGGCTGAGGTAGAAAGATAGCTGGAGGCCAGGAGTTCAAGACCAGCCTGGGCAACATTGGGAGACCCCCATCTCTACAAAAAAATTTAAAAATTATCCAGGTACAGTGGCGCATGCCTGTGGTCCCAGCTACTCAGGACTCTAAGACCAGAGTACCGCTAGAGTCCAGGAGTTTCCAGCTGCAGTGAGCTATGATCACACCACTGCACTCCAGCCTGGGCAATAGAGCAAGACCCTGCCTCAAAAATTAATTAAAAAATTTTTTTAAATCTCTTTTACCAAATTGTAAATAGAAGTTTTCCTTCCCAAATCAGGAAGTAAACCACAAGCAATGTTAATTTAAGCTCATTGGAAAAATGAGTGCAGAATAAACTTGGAGAGAGAGAGTTGTTTTGTTTTGTTTTGTTTTGTTTTGTTTTTAAAGAGACAGGGTCTTACTCTGTCACCCAGGCTAGGGTACAGTGGCATGATCATGACTCACTGCAGCCTCAGCCTCCCAGACTCAAACAATCATCCCACCTCAGCCTCCTAAGTAGCTTGGACTACAGGTATGTGCTATTGCACCTGGCTAATTTTTTTAAAAGTTTTTGTAGAGCCAGGTCTTGCCGTGTTGCCCAGGCTGGTCTCAGATACCCGGACTCAAGCGATCATCCAACTTCAGCCTCCCAAAGTGCTGGGATTGCAGATGTGGGCCCCCACGCTTGGCCCTTTGCAATGTTTTAAAAGACAGTAATGTAGTTATACAAACCTCTTTGTTTTTAACTTCTTTCAACATTGAAATCTATCTTGCTGTATATAAATCTACAACTGCTTCTGACTATTACAGAGTATTCCCTTGTATGCCTGAAAGTATTATATTTTGTTACATTTTCATCTGGTGGTGGTCATTTAGGTTACTGCCAAATTTTTGTTCCTACAAATAGCACTGGAGTGAACAGCACAAATATGCATCAGTTTTTGGACCTGTGTAAAAATTTATCTAGAAGTGTTGGATATATGCATACTTAATTTTATTGTTGCCAGATCATTCTTCAGAAATGTTTGCATCAGTCAATTATATTGTTTAAACAGGCAGCACCTAGTGAGTACCTGAAATTACCATAGTAATTCCCATATCACGAGGTTATTCTCAGGATTAAATGACTTAAGATGATAGTTTTTTAGGCTTTTTTTTTTTTCCACAGTAAAACAGAGACCCACAATATGTAAACAAATAAGTGGTGAGTTCTTAAGCAGTTAGAATTGTTTAATGGAAAACATTTCATTATTGAAGTTCCCCTGAAGGACTTTTTAAAGATTTCTGGGATCACACCACTGAATTAAGGTGTAGAATGCCACTTTGGATCAATGTCTAGAATGTTAAATAGCTCCTTAAGTTTGGTTTTGTTTTCTTGTAATACCATTTTATGAAGTATAAGCATGTAGTATATCCAGAGGAAAACTTCAAAATGAAGATGTGTATATAGGGCCTTGCTTCCATAAGTCCTCAAGCGGGATTATCATCTCTCTTCCTGGCATTTCTCTGAGGTAAGTATGAAGATGATGTTGACCTTCCTGGCTTGTCTCAGTTGGCACTGGGCCTCTGAGTGTAAAGCTGAGAGTAGGCTGTGGTCTCCAGTTTAGTCCTGTGCTTTTACCCCAGGACACATAGTAGTCCTTGTCTGTACCCACCTGCCCATTTTGTTTGTGGGTCATTGTGGACAATGACTGGAAATTAGCACATATGGTATACATTCATCCTTACAGGTCATAGCTCAGGTTGTCTCTTCTATCTCTTTACTTACATTTGTGTTCATTTCTTCTGTCCCTTTTTACCTCCACACCTCCAGTTTGAATTTTTATTTGGAATTGTCATTTATTTCCTCAGGTTTAATGCCTTGAATTTTTTTTTTTTTTTTCAGTGATCAGGAACCTCCCTATTCAATGATAACATTACATGAAATGGCAGAAACAGGTATTTTTAGTTTTGTTTTTATTACTTTGTAATGAATATATAATAATGAAGAAAAGTAGCCACCTTTTGTTTTTTGTTTTGTTTTGAGATAAAAGACTCCAAAAAGACAGCATACATAACAATGAAAAAAGCCCTTACTGTATGGAAATTTCCCTGAATAGGTATAATAGGCAATGTGCATAATGGCATTGCCCGGCCTATATTTTTAAAAGAGAAAATTTAAAAATCTTCCAGTATGCCAAAAAGAAAAAAAAACCAAACCCTAGAATTTTACATTTCCATCTAAATAAGAATTCAGAGAGCATCCTGGGCTCTCACCTTTTTTTTTTTTTTTTTTTTTTTTTTTTTTTTTGGTATTGATGGATCTTTGACCATACTGTTCTGGAATGGAGAGATTACTCATATATATATATATATATACTTATATATATATATATATTTTTTTTTTTTTTTTTGAGACAGAGTCTTACTCTGTTGCCCAGTGCAGTGGCACAATCACAGCTCAACTGCAGCCTCAACCTACCCTGGCCCAGGTGATCACCCCACCTCAGCCTCTCAAGTAGCTAGCACCACAGGCACATGCCACACTACCCAGCAATTGTTCTTTTTTTGTAGAGACAGAATTTCACCATGTTGCCCAGGCTGGTCTTATACTCCTGGGCTCAAGGCATCCTCCTGCCTCAGCCTCCCGAAGTGCTGCATTACACATGTGAGCCACAGCCCCTGGCCAAGGATATTTTTTCTTCCTTAGTTTCCTAAGTATCATTCTGAAAACAAAGCCAACTGCTGAGTATGCTTCATTTTCTCAGTTAACTCCTATGTAGTAAATAAGATGCTTAAAACTATTTTAATGTGAGAACACAAGACCGTAGCTTAACCTTTTTACAAATACAGGTACCCACAAATCACCAGACTCCTGTAACTTAAGATGTTTTTACTCCACCACGATGACTAGCAATTGATGATTATGTCCATGCCAAGTATTAGCTGCTAAAAATCTATAGACCAAAAGTCTTTCTTTTAATGTGAATTGATCTTGTGTGACATATTTTCACATTTTAAAAATAGTGACTCCATCATATAATCTTCTTGATTTGCTCTTAGATGAAGGATGGTTGGATGTTGTCCAGTCTTTAATTAGAGTTATTCCACTGGAAGATCCACTGGGACCAGCTGTTATAACATTGTTATTAGATGAATGTCCATTGCCCACTAAAGTAAGTTAATACTTATCTTTTAGGAAACTATCATTTTTGCTTAAGCCCAGGATAAATGACCACAAAGAACATTTGATGTAATGTGTTTCATCTTTATACATTTGGGGTCTGTTTTATTCAGTATTGATTTTATTATGTAAATTTATTTTGTATTATGAAGAATTATGTCCTCTTTTTTTTTTTTTCTCTTTGAGATAAGAGTCTCGCTCTGTTGCCCAGGCTGGAGTACAGTGATGTGATCTTGGCTCACTGCAACCTCCACCACCCGGGTCCAAGCGATCCTCCTGCCTCAGCCTCCCAAGTAGCTGGGATTACAGGCGCCCACCACCACACCCGGCTGATTTTTGGATTTTTAGTAGAGACGGGATTTCACCATGTTGGCCAGGCTGGTCTTGAACTCCTGACCTCAAGTGATCCTCCTGCCTCGGCCTCCTCCCAAAGTGCTGGGACTACAGGCATGAGCCACTGCGCCCAGCCCTCTGTCTTTTTTTTGTTGTTTATTTTGAAACAGGGTCTCACTTTGTTACCCAGGCTGGAGTGCAGTAGAGTGATCACAGCTTACTGTAGCTGCAACCTCCCTGGGCTCAGGTGATCCTCCCACCTCAGCCTCCCATGTAGCTGGGACCACAGGTGCATGACCCCATGTCTGGCTAATTTTGTATGTTTTGTGGAGATGGGGTTTCATCATGTTGCCCTGGCCAGTCTTGAACTCCTGTGCTCAAGCAGTCAGCCCACCTCAGCCTCCCAAAGTGCTGGGATTGTAGACGTGAGCCACCGTGCCCTGCCACATTCTCTATCAAGACTTTATTTAATTTCTTTTTTTTCTTCTTTCCCTTCCTCCCTCCCTCCCTCCCTCTCTTCCTTCCCTTTCCTCCTTTCCTCCCTTCCTCCCCTGGCCCCACCTAGGCTGGAGTGCAGTGGTGCAGTCATGGCTCACTGTATCCTCAGCCTCTCAGGTTCAAGTGATCCGCTTGCCTCAGCCTCCCACGTTGCTGGGACTACAGGCGTGCACCACCATACCCAGCTAAATTTTTTTTAATTTTTGTAGAGAAAGGGTCTCACTGTGTTACCCAGGCTGATTTTGAATTCCTGGGCTCAACAGATCCTCCCACCTTGGCTTCTTAAAGTGTTGGGATTATACATGTAAGCCACTGTGCCCAGCCTAGGTTAAAATTTTTTTCAATGTTAAAAATAGAAGCATTTAAGGCCAGGCGCGGTGGCTCACGCCTGTAATCCTAGCACTTGGGGAGGCTAAGGTGGGTGGATCACCTGAGGTCAGGAGTTCGAGTCCAGCCTGGCCAGCATGGTGAAGCCCCATCTCTACTAAAATACCCTGTCTCTACTAGAAATCAGCCAGGAGTGATGGCAGGCACCTGTAATCCCAGTACTCAGGAGGCTGAGACATGAGAATTGTTTGAACCCAGGAGGCAGGGGTTGCAGGGAGCTGAGATCGTGCCACTGCACTCCAGCCTGGGCGACAAAGCAAAACTCTGTCTCAAAAAAAAAAAAAAAAAAGAAGCAGCAGTTAGGCTGGGTGCAGTGGCTCACACTTGTAATCTCAGCACTTTGGGAGTCCAAGGCAGGCAGATTGTTTGAGTCCAGGAGTTCAAGTCCAGCCTGGCAACCTGGTGAAACCCTGTTTCTACAAAAAAATCCACAAGTTAACAGGGTGTCATGGTGCATGTCTATAGTCCCAGCTGCTCAGGAGGCTGAGGTGGGAGGATCACTTGCACTCAGGAGGTCGAGATTGCAGTGAGACAAGATTACGTCACTGCGCTCTAGCCTGGTTAAAAAAAGAAGTATTTGTATCTGAGGTGGCAATCTTTATTCAGAAGCTAGAAGAGAATGTTGAGTTGCTGAGCTGATTTTCTTATCTTTCTCTTAAGTGATTTCCTCAAAAGTTTTAATAATGTTTTTTATTAGGAGGAAAAACTGGGCTGGATATAGTGGTTCGTGCCTGTGATCCCTGCACTTTGGGAGACCGAGACAGGAGGATCAGTTAAGCTCAGGAGTTTGATGCCAGCCTGAACAAAAAGTGAGACCTTGTCTCTATTTAAAAAAAAGAAAAAAAAAAGCCGGGCACGGTGGCTCATACCTGTAATCCCAGCACTTTGGGAGGCCAAGGCAGACAGATCACTTGAGGTCAGGAGTTCGAAACCAGCCTGGCCAACATGGTGAAACCTCATCTCTACTAAAAATACAAAAATTAGCCAGCACGATGGCGTGCACCTGTAATCCCAGCTACTTGGGAGGCTGAGGCAGGAGAATCACTTGAACTCGGAAGGTGGAGGTTGCAGTGAGCCAAGATTGTACCACTGCACTCCAGCCTGGGCGACAGAGTGAGACTCCTCTGTCTCAAAAAAAAGTTAAAACTGCAAGCACTTTTGAATCTTACTCAAATGTATTAATGATTAGTGTAACCCTGGTTATCCCTTACATAGAACAAAAGCATCAAACTTTCGTTGTCTTAGTCCATGTGTTTTAGAGTCTTTTTTTTTTTTTTTTAATTGGATTCTGGCATCTTTCATTTTTAAGATGGAGTCTTGCTATGTTGCCCAGGCTGGTCTCAAACTCCTGGGCTCAAGCATCCTCCCACCTTGGCCTGCCAAAGTGCTGGGATTGCAGGCATGAGCCACTGTGCGTAGCCTCGATTCTGGCATTTTCATTCATCTGTTTAAGCCCAGTACAGAAAAACATTGTGGACAGAAGGGGAGAGGCTTTAGCGTACTGGCCAATGAATTTACCTTTGCCTAGGCTCATAAGAGGTGCCTGTTTCAATTTACCTTCAACTCTGTTGGGTCAGGGTGCAGTGGTTCATGCCTATAATCCCAAACTTTTTGGGGGCTGAAGCAGGAGGATCACTTAAGACCAGGAGTTTAAGACCAGCCTGGGCAACATAATGAGATCCCCATCTCTACAGAAAATTAAAATTATCTGGGCATTGTGACATGTGCCTGTAGTCCCCAGCTGTGAGAGAGGCTAAGGTAGGAGGATCACTTGAGCCCAGGAGGTAAAGGCTACAGTGAGCCATGATCACTTCATTGCACACCAGCCTGGGCAACAGAGCGAGAGCAAAAAGAAGAAAACTGTTGGGATTTGTTTTTGCTTAGTAAAACTTTTTTTTTTTTTTTTTTTTTTTTTTTTTGAGACGGAGTCTCGCTCTGTCTCCCAGGCTGAAGTACAGTGGCTGGATCTCAGCTCACTGCAAGCTCCGCCTCCTGGGTTCACGCCATTCTCCTGCCTCAGCCTCCCGAGTAGCTGGGACTACAGGCGCCCACCACCGCGCCCGGCTAATTTTTTGAAGTTTTCAGTAGAGACAGGGTTTCACTGTGTTAACCAGGATGGTCTCCATCTCCTGACCTCGTGATCCGCCTGCCTTGGCCTCCCAAAGTGCTGGGATTACAGGCGTGAGCCACCGTGCCCGGCCGTAAAACTTTTTTTAAAGTAACTTTTTACTTCAACATCACTAGCCTTTAATGTTTCCATAATGGCATTTGAGTGGGTTTAATCTGTTTAGTGATTCAAGAATATGTAGCATATATTTGATACAACTTAAGCATTCTGAATGAAATGGAATCTAGTAAGTCATGAAAGGAGACTTTCAGGTTGATCAGAAATTTCCCATCAATGATATCATTGGGGTACATTGCATAATTTTTATATGGTCTTTCTGAGTTTATTTAACACCTGGTTGGCCGGGCGCGGTGGCTCAAGCCTGTAATCCCAGCACTTTGGGAGGCCGAGACGGGCGGATCACAAGGTCAGGAGATCGAGACCATCCTGGCTAACACGGTGAAACCCCGTCTCTACTAAAAATACAAGAAAATTAGCCGGGCGAGGTGGCGGGCGCCTGTAGTCCCAGCTACTCGGGAGGCTGAGGCAGGAGAATGGCGTGAACCCAGGGGGGCGGAGCTTGCAGTGAGCCGAGATCGCGCCACTGCAGTCCAGCCTGGGGCACAGAGCAAGACTACGTCTCAAAAAAAAAAAAAAAAAAAACACCTGGTTATAGCTCCCCCCACCCCCCTGAGGCAGAGCCTTACTCTGTCATCCAGGCTGGAGTGCAGTGGCGTGCTCTCAGCTCACTGCACCCTCCACCTCCCAGGTTCAAGTGATTCTCCTGCTCTGCCTCAGCCTCCTGAGTAGTTGAGATTACAGGCACGTGCCACCACTCCCGGCTAATTTTTGTATTCTTACTAGAGATGGGGTTTCACCATGTTGGCCAGGCTGGTGTCGAACTCTTGATCTCGTGATCCGCCCTCCTCGGCCTCCCAAAGTGCTGGTTATAGCTTTCGTCTCAAAAAAAAAATGAGCCTGGGAAAACAACCTGTGTAGTATATGGGTCAAACCCACTTGTACTTTTTTGTTTTAGGATGCACTCCAGAAATTGACTGAAATTCTCAATTTAAATGGAGAAGTAGCTTGCCAGGACTCAGGCCATCCTGCCAAACACAGGAACACATCTGCAGTCCTAGGCTGCTTGGCTGAGAAACTAGCAGGTAACTTTGGGACACTCCACAGTGGAAGATCTTCAGTTGTTTGACATTAAAGGGAAATTTGTACTGTAGGTCTTTGATCAAACCTGCTATAACAGAAATAAATCTCTTAACAATGATATTGAGAGACATAGACTAACTGGAAGAAAATTATTGAAAGGCTACAGAGGTGAATGCAATTTAATTTAGCTTTGTGGATTTTCAGGGGAAATTTTAAAAGAAAAAAGTTGTGTTTATTTGCTTTAAGGAGCGGGGAAAAGAAAAAAAGGGGGAAAAGCTAAATTCAGCATAACAAAGATATGTATGTATGTATACAATATATAATTTGCATATATACACACTTTATAAAGTTTAGCTAGATTATGAAGACATACAAGGTAGAGGGAGAGGAAAAGGAGCTTCTGATTGGAGCAGTTCCTGAGAAACAGATATTTAATTTGTTTATGAATATTACCCATTTTAAGAAAGTTAACAGCAAAGTATAGGGGCATAGCTCAGCTACTAACATCACATATTGTGGAAGAAACAATGGATTAGAAATCAGAATATGTGGCTGCTGGTTTGGACTCTCCCATGTGCTCGCCAAGTGCCCTGGAGTTAGTTGCTTCACTCTGTGGGCTCACTTGCTTAACTGTGAGATGGGACTGGTACTATTTTCTACCTCAGAGCAGGATGCTTGAATAAGATAACATGCGTGAAAGAGTTCTACCAAAACAATTTGATTGCTACCAGTGATTTAAAATAATATGGCATTTTAATTTATATCAAGTGTTTGTTGTATTTGTCTAGGTCCTGCAAGTATAGGTTTACTGAGCCCAGGAATACTGGAATATTTGCTACAGTGTCTGGTAAGTGAGACATCAAAACTATTTATTCTCAGTCATCTAGAAGTGAGCATCGTCTAGAACTGTGCATTTTCTCAAATTGCTGGCATAGCCTCTGGCACAGAGAATGGAATCAATTGTAAATTTTATTTGCAGGTGTTTCCCGAATGCTTATTTATTCCCTCCTATGTTTAAAAAAGAGAGTGGGATTGGAATTTATTCCAACCAGCAAAAACAGCTGAGTTGGTCTGGTTTTAAATTTAGTCATAAGATAGCTGCTATGATTGGCTCTTTTGCATGTTCCTAGAGTTTGCCAAATGGTAATAGGGACCTCCACAGTGGAAACAAAATTACATGGTGTTCTAAGCCAGGAGGCCATCAAGTCAAATTCCCAGTGTATATAAATCTCTACTCCTCCCTGCCCTCCCCCTCACTGCTACTGTTCTTAAAACTGTTGTCACTGGAGTATTTAATATATTGTGTGTGAAGCCTGTGGTTTGCTGAGGCTATGCCCTCAGATCTCTCCTAGTTCTGGCCTGTGGTCTTGAATGGTCTATATTTTTAAAAGTTATTTTTGTAAGCCTAGTGAGCATTGGCCTTTTTCAAAACTCTGTTCTGAAAACCCTTATTTGTCAATACACGCTGATACGTGCTTAAAACACTTACCTTATTCTCAATGAGCACTCTGGGGATACAGCATGGCAGTCCTTGATTTCAAGAAGTTTATTGGTTAGTTGAGGAAACAAAACTACTCAGACAAGATAATTAGCCTCCATTTTATCACAGGATGTGATCATGGGATAAAGTACTTCGTCAAGACTAAATGAGGGCCGGGCACAGTGGCTCACGCCTATAATCCCGGCATTTTGGGAGACTGAGGTGGGCAGGTCGCCTGAGGTCAGAAGTTCAAGACCAGCCTGACCAACATGGTGAAACCCGGTCCCTGCTAAAAATACAAAAATTAGCCGGGCACGGTGGCATGTGCGTGTAGTCCCAGGTACAGGAGGCTGAGGCAGGAATTCACTTGAACCTAGAAAGCAGAGATTGCAGTTAGCTGAGATCTCACTGCACTCCAGCCTGGGCGACAGAGCGAGACTCCGTCTCAAAAAAAAGACTAAATGAGAAGGTGAGGGAGGTGGGTGGTATGGGTAATGAGAGCTGGGGTGTCATGAAAGTCAGACTTCCTGATGAAGGTGGACCCTCAGCTGGGTCATGCCATAAGATTAGGATTTTATTGTGCCCAGAGGAGGAAAAATTGGATTTCTTAGCTAAGGGAACATCACAGGCAGAAGCCCAGAGACAGAGAAGTGTCTGATGAGAGAAGACAGTGTTCAGAGATAGGACACAGACTGAGTAGCCAGCTAGAAAGGGTTCAGGGCCTGAAAAGCCAGGCAGAGGGATTTAGATGGATATGAGAAGAAATAGAATGCTGAATAGGCTTTCCAGCAGCAGGGATGGTGGTTATGTGAGCTTTCCAGAACTTAGGTGGGTACCAGGGAAGTCAGTGGGAATCATCTGATATTCTGGAGCTCCTCTGGTGGCTCCCAATGCAGCAGTAGGGAAAGCATGGCTATGAGAAGGTGTCATGTTCAACAGATAGACCTTTCCTTAAAGGGGAACTCATGTGACATGAACTTAAATGTAACTAAGAGTTCACTTGTTGCTTTCTCCTGTCTACCATCAGCATTTGTAGAATTCCTTTCAGGAAACAGCTTAAAAACTAAGCCATTAATTGTTAATTTAATTATTTCTAATTTTGGAACTTGGTAGTGATAAGTGGTTCTTTTTAGGGTTCTAAGTAAAAGATCATTTTTAGTTTATAATTCAAGGTTTCTGTTTGGCTTGCATAAATGAATGTGAGAATCAATGTTTTATTTAACAAAACCCTAATATAAGTTTTACGAAGTAAAATAACATAGTGTATTTAACAGGATACTTTTGAAATTTCCAAATCTATAAGTTAACCTAGTGACTTTAAGAAAAAATTACAAGATTAAGAGAGCCTGTCCGGTTCATTACTGTTACTGTCATTACTAACATTAGCCAAACGGATAATTGAGGACTTGAATGAATGGAACTTTTCTGACCACTCAAAAAAACATCTAGCACATACTGGGCAAGGAAATGAAACTGATAACTTGCCACCTCTGCAGGGGAATGATTTTTTTTTTTTTTTTTTTATCTTTTGTTGTTTTTCAGAAGTTACAGTCCCACCCCACAGTCATGCTTTTTGCACTTATCGCACTGGAAAAGTTTGCACAGACAAGTAGGTATAGTGACTTCTTGCACTAATGATCTTCTGTATTGGTTGTTAAAAATTTTATTTTTCTTAGTTACTGGATGAGCCTACACTTTGAACCCCATCAGATGGGCATTACATTCTGTTTTCGTCTGGATAGACACGTTAAAGCCAATGAAGTATAACAGGGACAAAGGCAAGGATTTTCTCACCTAAGAATCGAAACTTGGTAACCATGATTACTCACTTTTTATAGCCAAAAATTTAGTAATGCGATTGCTACTTTCTAGAAAGAAGTGTGGTGGCTCATGCCTATAATCCCAGCACTTTGGGAGGCCAGGGCCAGAGGATCGCTTCAGGCCAGGAGTTCGAGACCAGGGTGGGCAACATAGCAAGACTCAATCTCTACAAAAAATTTTAAAAAATCAGCCAGGCATGGTGGCATGCACCTATGTTCCTAGCTACTTGGGATGCTGAGGCTGGGGGATCACTTGAGCCCAGTAGTTCAAGGTTACAGTGAGCCGTGGTTGTGCCACTGTACTCCAGCCTAGGCAACAGAGCGAGACCCTGTGACTAAAAAAAAAGGAAAAGAAAATAGTCAAAGCTCTTTGGCTATGTTATCCCTAGAAAGTTTAATTGAAGTCTAATCTAGTCTCCAGTTCTTTAATTGCCTCTTCCCCTTAGCAATACTAATTTGCTGAGCAAATCATTCTACTCTTTCATTGTTAATTCAAGGATTATGTCTTTCCAAACAGGTGAAAATAAATTGACTATTTCTGAATCCAGTATTAGTGACCGGCTTGTCACATTGGAGTCCTGGGCTAATGATCCTGATTATCTGAAACGTCAAGTTGGTTTCTGTGCCCAGTGGAGCTTAGACAATCTCTGTAAGTGAGAGTTGTCCTTTATTAAAATGTCTGTTTCCATTTCCAGACTCATTTCTTTCATAGGCTCACTGGTCTTCCTTTTGCAGTGGTAAGTATGAGTCCTTATAAGGACCTCTACTGGCAGGTTGGATATATTCTAGCAGAAAAGTATCATAGAGACCCTTTAGACAAGAATTGTATAGTATGCTTCTAATTCCAGCATTTTCTTGTTCAAAAACCTTTACTGGCACCCAGTTTCCTACTGCATCAAAGCCCTTAATTATATGGCACTGTCTAACCAGCTCTTTCCAACACAAATCATCTCACTGTCCTACAAACAGGTCCTGATGATTCCTACATCTGGACCTATTCCCCTCACTTGGAATTCCCTCTTTACTCCTCTCCCTTTCCCAACTTTGCTCTTCAAAACCCAAGTCATGTTTTACCTACATCATGAGAACTGTTCCTGATTTTTCTCTTTTCCTCCTCCAAGGGCTGCTGGAACAAAAACTACTATAGGTTGAGTTTCTCTTATAGTTTGAATTTCTCTTATCTGAAATGCTTGGGACTGAAAGTATTTCAGATTTCACATTTTTTCAGATTTCGGAGTATTGGCAGATACCCGGTTAAGCATCCCTAATCAAAAAATCTGAAATCCTCCATCGAGCATTTCCTTTGAGCCTCGTGTCTGCACTCAAAAAGTACTGGATTTTGGAGCATTTTGGATTTTCAGATTAAGAGCGATCAACCTGTATACTTCTGTACCCTCACTCCCCCATCCATAGTTAGTACTGTGCTAAAGCACAACTGACATGTAAATCCACCCCCACTGTTACCCCAATATTGTGGGGAGGAGCTTCCTGCACAGCCTGTGAAGTGCCAGTTAAAGAATAATTCTGAAAGAGTGCAATTTGGATTTTGTTCATGCAAAATGATTCTCTAGGGAATGGAAGCATAAATCTAGCAGTGCTGCCTTTCCTAGCATTTGTTTGATTGATCTTCAAATGGCAATGCTGCAGCAGAGCTCTGGCTATGTCTCCCCACCTATTCTGCCATTTACGAGCACCTCTGCTCCTTAACTAGGATAGCACTACCTTATTTATTTGTTTGTTTATTTTTAACGTATGAAAAATCAGTGTGTTTTACCTTCCAGGAGGATTATTTTTAATGGACATATAGTAATACATATTTTTGAAGCATATGAGATATTTTGATACAGTCATACAATGAGTAATTACCACGTCAGAGTAAATGGGATATCTGTCCCCTCAAGCATTTATCATTTATTTGTGTTACAAACATTCCAATTATACTCTTTTGGTTTTTTTAAATTTCTTTGTTTTACACTTTTATTTTCTTTTAGTTATTTTTAAATGTACTATAAATTATTGTTGACTGTAGTCACCCTGTTATGCTGTCAAATACTAGGTGTTCTTCATTCTGTCTAGCTATATTCCCATTAACCAACCCCATTTCTCCCCCACCCCGACTACCCTTCCCAGCCTCTGGTAATCATCCTTCTATTTTCTCTTTTCATGAGTTCAGTTGTTTTAATTTTTAGCTCCCACAAAAATTAGTGAGAACGTGCAAAGTTTGTCTTTTTGTGCCTGACTTATTTCACTTAACATCATGTCCGACAGTTCCATCCATGTTATTGTAAATGACAGGATCTCATTCTGTTTTTGTGGCTAAACAGTACACTATTATGTGTATGCACCACATTTTCTTTATTCATTTGTCTCTCTGTGGACACTTAGGTTGATTGCAAATCTTGGCTATTGTGAGTGCTGCAATAAACATGAGATTGCAGATATTTCTTTGATATACTCATTTCCTTTCTTTTTGCTATATATCTAGCAGCAGAATTGCTGGATCATATGGTAGCTCTGTTTTTAGTTTTTTGAGGAACCTCCATACTGTTCTCCATAGTGGCCGTACTAATTTACATTCCTATCACCAGTGTACAAGGGTTACCTTTTCTCCACATCCTCACCAGCATTCACTGTTGCCGGTTTTTTTGGATAAATACTGTTTTTACTGGGGTGAGATTATAGCTCATTGTAGTTTTGATTTGGATTTCTCTGATGATCAATAATGTTGAGTACCTTTTCATATATCTGTTTGCCATTTGTATGTGTTCTTTTGATAAATGTCTATTCAGTTGTTCTGCCCACCTTTTAATCAGATTATTGGATGTTTTCCTGTTGAGTTGTATGACCTTCTTATATATTGTGGTTATTAATCCTTTGTCAAATGGATAGTTTGCAAATAGTTTCTCCCATTCTGTGGGATGTCTCTTTACTTCGTTGATCATTTCCTTTGCTGTAAGAAACTTTTTAGCTTAATATGATCCCATTTGTCCATTTTTGCTTTGGTGCCTGTGCTTTTGGGGTATTCAAGAAATCTTTGCCCAGATCAGTGTCCTGGAGAGTTTCCCCAATGTTTTATTTTAGTAGTTTCATAGTTTGAGGTCTTAGATTTAAGTCTTTAATCCATTTTGATTTGATTTTTATAGACGATGAGAGATAGGGGTCTAGTTTTATTCTTTTGTTTATGGATATGTGGTTTTTCTAGCACCATTTATTGAAGACACTGTCCTTTCTCCCAGTGTATGTTCTTGGCACCTTTGTTGAAAATGAGTTCACTGTAGATGTATGGATTTATTTCTGGATTCTCTGTTCTGTTCCATTGGTCCATGTGTCTGTTTTTATGCCAGTACCATGCAGTTTGGGTTCCTGCAACTCTGTAGTATAATTTGAAGTCAAGTAATGGGATTCCTCCAGTTTTGTTTTTTTGCTCAGGGCCAGGTTTTTTGCTATTCTGGGTCTATTGTTGTTAGGATAAATTTTAGGATTATTTTTTCTATTTCTGTGAAGAATGTCATTGGTATTTTGATAGGGATTGCATGGAATCTGTAGATTGCTTTAAGTAGTGTAGACGTTTTAACAATATTGAGTCTTCCAATCCATGAACATGGTATATCTTTGTGTGCTCTTCAATTTCTTGCATTAGTGTTTTATAGTTTTCATTGTAGAGATCTTTCACTTCTTTGATTAAGTTTATTCCTAGGTATCTTATTTTATTTATAGGTTTTGTAAGTACAATTACTTTCTTGATTTCTTCTTCAGATTGTTTGCTATTGGCATATAGAAATGCTATTGATTTTTGTATGTTGATTTTATATCCTGCAACTTTACTGAATTTGCTTTTTAGTTCTAATAGCTTATTGGCAGATTTTTTTAGGTTTTCCTAAATATAAGATCATATTATCCACAAACACAGATAATTTGACTTCTTCCTTTCCATTTTGGATGCCCTTTATTTCTTTCTCTTGTCTGATTGCTGTAGCTGGCACTAGCTTCTTCTTTTCCCCACAGCTACCTGCCTTAGAAACATGAACACTCTTTCTTTTGCAGTTTTAAAAGAAGGTAGACAGCTGACCTATGAGAAAGTGAACTTGAGTAGCATTAGGGCCATGCTGAATAGCAATGATGTCAGCGAATACCTGAAGATCTCACCTCATGGCTTAGAGGTAGGTAATGCTTCTACAGTTAGACCCTTTGGGGGATGAGAGGGTAATTACTTTAATCGTTGCATAGCCAGTTGTCTTAGGGCTGGTGCTTCCCTCTCTCCCTGTATTTTGGAAATGTTGCTGACTTCATGGGGAAGTCTTGATGAAAGATCTGCTTATGAACAGAAGGTACCATAAGGCACTAAATGTGTCAGGATTAAAGAACTGTTTGAAGAATGGCTGCAAACAATTCTTTGATTCTGTATGTTGCCAAATGCCTTATATAGTTTGATTTTGTACTTTTTGTCACTGAGGATGGATGGAGGAAACAGTCCACCAGAAGCTTTAATAAGGAAAAATACACTCAGCCTTCCCAGTAGTCAGTTATCTTTGGTGGTCTTAAGGCCCTCATGGTTGATTGTCACATTTTTTGGTTTTGCCAGGCTCGCTGTGATGCCTCCTCTTTTGAAAGTGTGCGTTGCACCTTTTGTGTGGATGCTGGGGTATGGTACTATGAAGTAACAGTGGTCACTTCTGGTGTCATGCAAATTGGCTGGGCCACTCGAGACAGCAAATTCCTCAATCATGTAAGTACCCTAGAGAACTGTGAAAATGGGGGCAGTGGCAGTTTGCTTTTTCCCCCTAGTTGGTGGGTGGAAAATACTTAGACATACTTATTTTTCAAATAGATTTGCTCAATAATCTTTTCTTGGGCAGAGCCACACGGTACCAGATCCCTAACAACGATCTACTAAACTGATAGAAAAATAGGAAAACACAAGTGAAATTGCCCCTCAGCCTTTTCTTTTTCTTGAATCTTAAGTTCACGCTAATTTTTCACCTAGAGGCTAGATGTGAATTTGTCTTTGTAGGCTCTGCTTCTGCCCCAGCCACATATTTGGCTCATTTCTTATATAGGAAGTAGTGCTGATTATTACCTTGAGTTTAAGCTCTAAGAGCTTTGTAGGGATTCTCTTCCTTTCAAGAAATAGATTGTTGGCTTGACTTCTTTCACTTGACTTTTACCTAGTAATTAGTTGGCACATTTTTCTCAATATTTAGTTATTTATCTTTTGTTATAGAAAGCTGTAATATAAAGGGGAAAATTAAATCCTAGCGTAAGTAGCATTGAAGGTGTTGGAGTTCCTCCCTTTCCTACAGATGTATGATTTCTTGCCACTTTATACCCTTCTAACACCCAGGCCAATTGGCTTTCTTCTGTTGATCAAATTATAAGCTGTTTGGAATTAATCCAGTTTTGATCAGGAATATTTTGTTTTCATATGATTTCTACCGTTTGAGGTGGGAGAAGCCCCTTGAATTATTTTGTTAATCTAAATAATAGTCCCCCATCCAATATGTAAGATCCTGGAATGGGTTTTAGAAGTGATCCAACAAAATCAAATTAAACTTGCCAGCCATAAGCATGGTGAAGTTTTCTGGTTTTTTGCTTTGCTTTTAGAGACAGGTCTCACTGTGTTGCTTAGGCTGGCCTCGAACTCCTGGGCTCAAGCCATCCTCTTACCTCAGCCTCCCGAATAGCTGGGACTACAGGAACATCCCATGGTGAGCTACTTATAAGCATAGTTTTTAAAGGCCTTTTTCAGCAAGGCTGTATTTCACCCTGGAATTGTTGATGGTGTATTATTAAAACTCCTAGGCTGGAGAGAGACAAATTGGAGGAAAAGGGCCAGTGGAGAGGTCAAGTCTGGACTCTTGTCTGGGGTGGAGAACTAGACCCCAGTCTGCCAATCATCTGATTCCCACAATAGCTTTTACTGTTAGAATTTCCATTTCACAGATGAGAAAACTGAGACAGAGTAGGAAGAAACTCATACCAGAATTCAGTGGCCTTCCTATTCTACAGTAGTTGTTTTTTTTTTGTATTCAAAAATGGGGAAAATCTCAGAGAATTAGCCAATTTCCTCATTTGGAAATGAAAAATTGTTCTAGAACTAGAAGTAATATAGGGGATTCTTCCACAGAGGAAGCTTCAATATAAAATTTGTTTCTCCTGATTTGGCAGCAAACACACTACAGATCTAGATCTGACACCGAATGTTACAAATGTGTTTTTTTAATGACCAGTGAAGCTGGATCTTTTCATTTGCTTGATGAAACTATAATTTTTGCCATGTAGTTGCAGACCTTTGGCTTCTCAAGTTAAAGACTTAAATACTGTTTTTTTATCCTGCAGATCACTTGACAGGCTATTGGTTTCTTTAAAAGCAAACATTCTTCCCTGATCCAAGCATTAGTTGATTCCCTATTAGAAACTGATAAAGTCTGATATGATGTCTTTTCCCAAATACAGGATTTTAATGATGTTGCCATATTTAAAACTTTGCTTCAAATGTACATTGTTCTGGTGATTCTGAATCTTTTTGCCTATTCAGACAGGGTGTGATTCTATGGAGTAAGTCATTCCTAGGATACATCCAGTTTCAAAAGATTCCAGGTGTCTCCATAGTGCCTCTTACTTGAACTCTTGCTGCTTAGGTTTCCATTTTAAAAGGCTGGCCACTGGGCTCAATTTTAAGTCATTAAAATAAGCTTAAGGATAGTTCTGTTCAGGTAATCTACAGAATAGTTTTTCTTGTTGTATTGTATATTTTTATGGAGGCTTAGGAGGAGCAACTCTCCAAGGGTGTACTCTGATTTATCTAAAATATCTTTTGCCTTTTGGCCGGGCACGGTGGCTCACACCTGTAATCCCAGCACTTCGGGAGGCTGAGGTGGGTGGATCACTTAAGGTCAGGAGTTTGGTCAACATGGTGAAACCCCGTCTCTACTGAAAATACAAAAATTAGCTGAGTGTGGTGGCGAGCACCTGTAATCCCACCTACTCAAGAGGCTGAGGCAGGAGAATTGCTGGAACATGGGAAGTGGCAGTTGCAGTGAGCCCGGAATGCACCACTGCACTCTAGCCTGGGCAATAGAGTGAGATTCTGTCTCATAAATAAATAAATAAATAAATAGATAAATAACTTTTGCCTTTTCATGAGCGTCTGTCATGTGATAGATCTTCCACATATTCATCTTTAATCTTTTTGAGAGTTTGGAAAGATATTATTCTGCCATTTAAAGATGAGGAAAATCAAGTTCAGAGAAATTAAGAAACTTGTCCAAAGCCATCTAGTCTCTAGCTGCTAGAGATTTCAAACCCTGGTCAGGATAGCCCATGCTCCTTCCCCTGTTGAAGCATCCTGCCTTGGAGAAAATGACTCTGGCTATCTCAGACAGAAAAGGAATGACTTAGAAGCCTTTCCAGGGCCTCCAGATTATGGAGAAGTTTGGGAACTAGACAGGCTCCAAGGCAATGTCAGGGCCAAGAAACAGGAAGTACAACAGCCAGTGTTTTAGGGGAATGATCTGGCCAGCATGTAGCCACCATTGCTGCTAGAAATCAATCCTAACTATCCCTCTGTGTGGGGTCACTTGCACCATACTGAGTGTTTGATGGGAAGGTCCAGCTGGCCAAGGCTAGGTCATATCTTTACCTTTCCACTTCCAAAAGAGGCGGCAGAACACTGTCTTCATACATTTCCCATAACAGGAAGCAGTTGGGATGCTCTACAGCAGGAAAAAGACAGTGTCCACCACATGGGACTATTCCCTGAATGACAAGCTGTGGATAAACTTTCTTTTGTTTGTATTTGGTAATGTTTCCATTGCTAAAATATGCATGACCAAAAAACAGTTCAAAATAAATACCAAGCTAGCCACTCTATTCTCTCATTTATCTGTCCTAGCCAATGGAAACCAAAATTAATCCTGCTGGGAACATTTTGAGCTGAGAGAAGGTGTAGAACATCTAGATTATTCTCTGAGATGTAAGCTCAAGAGATTTTTAAAGTGCATCTCAGCTAGGCAGAGGCATCTTCTCCTTAAATCTGTAGATACTGCTCTGTAGTTAAAGTTATTAGAGTTCCTTCTTTGTGCTACAGTGCCACTCTGTTGTGGAACTTATCCAGTCATCAAAGACACTGCGTGGTAAAGAATGTGTAATGAGTCTGTTCTTTACCAACTCATCGTGGCTAGTTTCTAGGAATTTCTTTCAAGTGTTCTGTCAAGGACTTATCAGGACATTAAAAGGTGAAGATAGAAAAGAATTGCTTGCCTTTTACCTATGCCCCAATGCCTACATGTTAGTGGTTTTTAAGTTTTTTACTTACTGACTTGTTCAGCCTTTGAAAGGGATGGCAAGGCATTCTTTCTAGCAAGTGGTGAATTTGTTTTCTTTTGTTTTGAGACAGTCTCACTCTGTCACCCAGGCCAGGGTGCGGTGGCACGTGGTCTCTGCTCACTGCAACCTCCGCCTCCCAGGTCCAGGCAATTCTTGTGCCTCAGCCATCAGAGTAACGGGGATTATAGGTGTGCACCACCACACCTGGATGATTTTTGTATTTTTAGTAGAGACATGGTTTTGGTCTCAAACGCCTGGCCTCAAGTGATCCGCCTCCCAAAGTGCTGAGATTACAGGCATGAGCCAGCGCTCTTGGCAGCCTTGGGTGGTGAATTTCTAAGGCAATTAGATGCAAGCTCATTTAACTCTTGAATAGTCTGAATAGTGAATATCAGTAGCTATTTCAGGAGAGTCCCTTTGGAGAGCATTCATCTAAATTCAGTATGTTGTAATCCAAAAATTTAGTACAAAATCGTTGCATTCGAACTTTTTTTCCAATCTATCTCCTCACTGTATTGTTTGCCCCATAGAAGAAACAGGCCATCAGGACCTGATCTTACCTGGATTTGGCCATTTTCAATTTCTTTCTCTAGTAAAACTTTTCACCATTGTTCCTTAAAGATAGCAGTTGTCTGATTTGCTTGCTGCTTCTATTTTTTATAAGCACTCAAAATAATTTCTTAAGATCTCAGCCACCCTTTTATTTTAACAGTTCTGTGAAATAATTGAAAGACAGTAAGTAAGAAAAAGAAGAAACTGCCAGGTACGGTGGCTCATGCCTGTAATCCCAGCACTTTGGGAGGCCAAGGCGGGCAGATCACCTGAGGTCTGGAGTTCGAGACCAGCCTGACCAACATGGAGAAACCCCATCTCTACTAAAAATACAAAAGTAGCTGGGCATGGTGGCTCATGCCTGTAATCCCAGCTACTCAGGAGGCTGAGGCAGGAGAATCGCTTGAACCCGGGAGTCAGAGGTTGCGGTGAGCCAAGATCACCCCATTATACTCCAGCCTGGGCAACGAGTGAAACTCCATCTCAAAGGAAAAAAAAGAAGAAACTGCCAAGGACCTGTACAATCCTCAAATCAAGCTGATCTCAGAATAGCTTTTATCTGAGTGTCCACTATAACCTTTCTCGTCTCCAGTTTTGAAATCTCTGAATATTTGGGTATTTTGAAGTCTGCTACATGCAAGAAAGGCATTTGCCTGATCTGATCTTGTTACTGGAAAGGGTCTGGATCCAGATCCCAAGAGAGGGTTTTTGGACCTTGCACAAGAAAGAATTTGGGGTGAGACTATAGAATAAAGTGAAAAGTTTATTAAAGAAACAGAAGAATAGCTACTTACTCTATAGGCAGAGCAGCAGCGTGGGCTGCCCAACTGAGTGGACTTAGGTTATTTCTCGATTATATGCTAAAAAGGGGTAGATTATTCATGAGTTTTCTGGGAAAGGAGCAGGCAATTCCCAGAACCAAGGGTTCCTTTTTAGACTATATAGAGTAACTTCCAAACTGCCATGACATTTGTAAACTGTCATGGCACCTGTTAGAGTGTCTTTTAGCATGCTAATACATTATAATTAGCATATCATGAACAGTGAGGATGACCAGAGGTCACTTTTGTTGCCATCTTGGTTTTGGTGGGTTTTGGCCAGCTTCTGGCTGGCTTGTCGCATCCTGTTTTATCAGCAGGGTCTTTGTGACCTGTATCTTGTTCTGACCTCCTGTGTCATCCTGTGACTAAGAATGCCTGACCTCTTGGGAATGCAGACCAGCAGCCCAGCAAGTCTAAGCCTCATTTTACCCTGCCCCTATTCAAGATGGAGTCTCTCTGGTTTGAATTCCTCTGACAATCTGGTACTGATATACAAGTGTACTGATCTTGGAATCAGAAGAATTTAGGTTCAAACCTGGCTCTCTTTCTTGGGCAAGTAATACATGCTTGGGCAAGCTGGTTGACCTCTCTGAGCGTTTGTTTCCTCTTATAATGGAGTCTGATGCCACCAGCCTCATGGTAGTTAGTGAGAACTAAATGAACTAAGAAATGTGAAAGTGCCTGAACAAAGGAGGTACTGGGCAAATATTTGTTGGTGAAGTCATTATCTGTTCACTTGGGACCAGCCCTCTAAGTCATAATTTTAGTATTTTCCAAAAACCATGAGCTCTCTCTTCATCCAGAAAGCTTAGAATCCCAGCCACTAGGTCAGTGGTTGTAAAAAACACACTCTGTCTTCCCAGGTCAGAGCAGGCAGACTTGCTAATCTTCTGGGCCTTGTCTCCCTCCAGGAAGGCTATGGCATTGGGGATGATGAATACTCTTGTGCGTATGATGGCTGCCGGCAGCTGATTTGGTACAATGCCAGAAGTAAGCCTCACATACACCCATGCTGGAAAGAAGGTATTCATTCCCTCTATTATAAATTTATCAAGTGGGTTAAGACATATGGTTATTATGAGGCATTTATTACATTAAGCCTTAAAATGTCTTAGAAGAAGATCAAATGTGAAAAGGGATATTAACTTTTGTGTCACTGCCAAAGATATAAATGGTACTCCTCCGATAAGTTTACCTCTGGTGGAGTCCTTCCTGTAGCAAAAACGTTTCAGAAAATAATTTTTTTACATTCGTCAGAAAATGATACTGTTAAGATTAGTATGAATTCTATTTTCCTCTTTGGATCTATTTTGAATTAAAACAGCCATGCCAATATCAGGGACACTGGAATTGTAATGCCACTAAAATGAGGATTTTTCAGGGACAAGATGGCTATGGAACAGGTTCTATCCAGTGACCACGCTCTAAGGAAGTAGGGTCATATGGTAAAAGATATAACCTCTGGAAGGAATGGAGTCCTAGCATCAGAGATAGAGGATATAACCCAGCTATTTCTCCAAGCATCCCTCTCTCATTTTGCTACCCCAGTCAGCATTGTGAATATAAACTGAATTTTTAGGCATGCTAATAAAGCAGAAATTTAGGCTGAGGCAGGTGGATTGCTTGAAGTCAGGAGTTCAAGACCAGCCTGGCCAACATGGTGAAACCTCATCTCTACTAAAATACAAAAATTAGCCAGGTGTAGTGGCACCTACCTGTGGTCCCAGTTACTTGGGAGGCTGAGGCAGGAGAATCACTTGAACCCAGGAGGCAGAGGTTGCAATGAGCCAAGATTGCGCTACTGCACTCCAGCCTGGTCAACAGAGTGAGATTCTATCTCAAAAAAAAAAAAAAAAAAAAAAAAAAAAAAAAAAGCAGGAATTTGCCCACCCCCGTGTGGAAACAGCTCCACTTGATTAAATTGATATATGGGAAAAAAAGTCAGAAAAGCCAACAGGAACACTCATTTTAATGACTTGCAGGTTCTTGAAGGAACGTAAAACTTCTTCATTTAATTAAGCGTATGATAAAGGCACTGTTTTCAAAAACTAGCTTGTATAAATAAGAATTTTTAAAGGATTATTCGAGTAATATGTTTATTATAAAAATGTGAAAAATAGAAAAAGAACAAAATGAATAAACTAAAAATCCCCTGTAATTTCTCCAGAGTTTTTTCAAAATGCTTAAATTTTATATATATATATATGTATATATATTTGTGTTGTTGTTATGCTTAATACCTTGAACAGCTTTCCAGGTTATTAAATAACATTACTTTTTATTGTTGTTGTTTTTGGGACAGGGTCTCACCTATCGATAGCCCAGGCTTGAGTGCAGTGGTGTGATCACAGCTCATACAGCCTTGACCTCCCAGGCACAATCCATCCTCCCACCTCAGCCTGTCCAGTAGCTGGGACTACAGGGACACACCACCATGCCTGGCTAATTTTTGTATTTTTTTGGTAGAGATAGGGTTTTGCCATGTTGCCCAGGCTAGCCTCAAACTTCTGGGCTCAAGTGATCCACCCAACTCTGGCCTCCCAAAGTGTCGGGATTATAGGCCTGAGCCACCATGGCCCAGACAATAACATTACTTTTAATGGCTTCTCAATATTCCATTATATAGTTGTACTGTGATATACTAATTAATGCCTCATTGTTGGACATTGACATTTTTGCCTTTTGGAATTATCATTATAGACCATTCCGGATATTCTCAAGACAAAACCCTTAGAAGTGAAACTTCTCTGGCAAGGGGGATATAGAATTTCAAAACTTTTGCTGTATATTGCCCAATTTTCCTCCACCAGCATTAAGTGTCCATTTTTCTTGTCATTGCTGTGTAATTTCATTTATCTTTGACAAACAAATTTGTTTATCTCATCTTTCAAAACCAAAATTGGGCCAGATGTGGTGACTCATACCTTTAATCCCAGCAGTTTTGGAGGTCGAAGTGTGAGGATCCTTTGAGAGGATCACTTGGGGCCAGGAGTTTGAGATTAGCCTGGGCAACATAATGAGACCCTCCGTCTGTAAAAAAATTTTAAAAATTTGCCAGGTGTGGTGGCACGTTCCTGTAGTCCTAGTTACTCAGGAGGCTGAAGCAGGAGGATCACTTGAGCCCGGGAGTTTGAGGCTGCAGTGAGTGAGCTAGGATTGTACCACTGCACTCCAGCCTGGGTAATGGAGCAAGACCCTGTCTTAACAACAAAAACAACAAAACCAAAAACTGAAACCTTAAGAGTTTTACTTTATTTGATAAGTGAAGATAAATGCTTTTTTTTTTTTTTTTCTTTTTTTTGAGACAGAGTCTTACTGTGTCACCCAGGCTGGAGTGCAGTGGTGCAATCTCAGCTCACTGCAACCTCCACGTACAGGGTTCAAGCGATTTTCCTACCTCAGCCTTCCAAGTATTACAGGCACCCACCATAACACCCAGGTTATTTTTTCTTTTTTTAGTAGAGATGGGGTTTCACTATGTTGGCTGGGCTGGTCTCAAACTGACCTCAGATGATCTGCCCGCCTTGGCCTCCCAAAGTGCTGGGATTACAGGCATGAACCACCATGCCCTGTCTTTTTTTTTTTTTTTTTTTGAGACAGTCTTGCCCTGTTGCCCAGGCTGGAGTGCTATGGCATGATGTCAGCTCACTGCGACCTCCACCTCCCGAATTCAAACGATTCTCCTGCTTCCGCCTCCCGACTAGCTGGGATCACAAGTGCCCACCACCACACCCAGCTAATGTTTGTATTTTTAGTGGAGACAGGGTTTCACCATGTGGCCAGGCTGGTCTTCAAACTCCTAACCTCAAGTGATCTGCCCACCTCGGCCTCCCAAAGTGCTGGGATTACAGGCGGGAGCCACCTTACCCGGCCTGCCTTGCCTTTTTTTTAAAGAAAGGCATATTTTGGGGGTAGTTATCTAGGGAGTTATAAATCTCACCAGAAAGGCAAGTAAGCACATGATTTTGATCTTACCATATTGCATTGAGCCCAAAATGCATATTTTTCCCCACATTTTAACATCTTTGAAATTGGGATGCATTTTAAGATTGGCTTGTCATAATTTAATTGGCAGTATTTTTTTCTTATTGTTACATTAAAATATTGGTGAGTAGGGGTCAGATCAGTTACAGAAGAAACAAAAATGACCATGTTGAATGCATAGCTAAAGATGCAGACTTAATACAGTGCCACTGAAACACTTGAGATGCTTATTAGAGAATCCTGGTAGTACACATCATTATCCTAACAGTGTTTCACTTTATCCTCTAGGAGATACAGTAGGATTTCTGTTAGACTTGAATGAAAAGCAAATGATCTTCTTTTTAAATGGCAACCAGCTGCCTCCTGAAAAGCAAGTCTTTTCATCTACTATGTAAGTAGCTCTTCTCAGTCAAAAATTTGAGTAGATGCATGGAATGCCCTTTTCTCTAGGAAAAAAAAGTCTTTGTCCATTTATGTACGTAATTGTGATGAGAAATTGATTAATTTCAAGTGATTGGGAACCCATTTGATCAGACCTAGAAGTTTGATACAGGAAGATAAGGCACAATATTCTCTGGTCACAGACCTGTGTGGGTTATAAACACAATCTGTCACTCTTCCTTTCGCCAGGGTAGGACTGACTCACCCTGCTTTTCTGAAAACTGTTCTATTAACTCTATTTTGATTGTTATTAATTCTGTTGGCCTCTGTACCCGTTTTATTTGTAGATCTGGATTTTTTGCTGCAGCTAGTTTCATGTCATATCAACAATGTGAGTTCAATTTTGGAGCAAAACCATTCAAATACCCACCATCTATGAAATTTAGCACTTTTAATGACTACGCCTTCCTAACAGCTGAAGAAAAAATCATTTTGCCAAGGTAAGGGATCTGCCCAGGCTATCTCCAGACTTTCACATGAATCTTAGGAGAAATTAAACAATTTATAATCAAGTTTAAAAGAACATAACCAATACATTTTGAATTAAATTACAATACCTGAGTAAAAGGATGACTTTTCAGGAAATATAAATTACTAAGATAGATCCCAGAAGAGATATACACAAACCAATTATTGTGTATATCTGTCCCTAGAAAGCACTAGACCCAGGTGATTTCACAGGGGATTTCTACCAAATCTGTAGGTAACAGATAACCTTATTGTTATTTAAAATGTTACCAAACCCAGAAAGAAGGAACACTTTCAAATTTTTTTTGTAAGATAAATAAGATTGGTATAAAAATCAGAAAAATATGACACACGTACACACAAAGAAGCTGCAAACTAACTTCACTTGAATGTCAGTGTCAAAATCCTAAATATTAGGAAATCTAGTGCACCTTTTAACAGACTCGGCTTTATTGAAACAGACTTTTTATATGGTTTTAGCTGTGTGGCAAAGATGACAACACTGTTCCACAACCATCAGTGAATACCATCTTGCATAAAATTTCACAACCCTTATTTGACAAAAACTGTGTTTGGCATTAATTTATCAGATGAATGCCTGCTTTGCTTCCTTGTGAGATGAATGTAGTCTATTCCTTAGGCTGGGGAAAGACTCCAGCTGCTTCCTGGTAATTATTTCAAGTTGAAGCTTGTTTCACAATGTGAGCTAAAGTTTATCATTTTAAACAGAGCAGCTGCCTGTTTAAAGGGTATTCCTGTTACTAATACCACATGTCTTATATCAGTAAGAGAGTCTCTCTCAACAGGCAAGGCCAGCATACTGGCCATGACATAGCTAATGTTGGACTGTTATGCCCCGAAGGTATCTGTAGCATAATCCTAGCTCTTGTTTTGGCTCAAAAAGCAGATCTGCAAGCAGTGCTCTGGGCTGTGCTTCACCTTGGACTCACTGTCTCAGTGTTTCAGTAGTTTCCAGATGAACTAGAAAATGGCATGATGATGGTAGCATTGTCTGCAGCAGCAGAGCCTCGGTAATAGCCCAAGAACATAAGGGTTGCGTATGTTCCTGCTCAGGGTTCTGAGGTTAATTCCTAAAACTTTTCATTCAGCCTCATCCTTGGTGCCTGACAGAGATTCTGAACTTTAAATTCCTATTGGCCAGAGTCTGAGGGGACATCTCTCCCTAATCTATCATACCCCATTCTTTTTCATCTAGCCTGCCTTTTCCTTGGATGAGGCCCACAAATAAGTCTTCTCACATATACCCTGAAAGGGACAATTGATCCATCTAAGTTCCCCTGGGGACTGGCCATAGTTAAAATGCTTCAGCATTTAGTTAACTGCTCCTACAGAATCAAACCTTCCAAAACTCAGATGGCAATGGGCATCAACTGTCAGAAAGTCTCATTTTATGGACAGCTTATACACACTCTCCTGGTAACCATGTATATAAATTTGGTACTCAAAGTTCATCTTGTCTTGAATAAGAACAGCTGAATTTCAAGCTAGGTCCATCCTATGCTGTCTTTAGACTGTTTTCTCTGATAGTAACAAGAAGATAGAGTTGTCAAGAGCCTAATTGAGTGGCCACCTTAGTGCCAACCTCCTCCTTGCACCTTGCTGCCCTTAACATTCCAGTTGTGCTTACTTACAAATTGTGGCATTAAATATGAACTTACTTAAGACTATTTTCTGTACCATTAATATTTTCATCCTGTGTTCCAAAAATGTATATTCAGTGATACTTTATATTCATTGGAATATTACTCCTTTCTGGCATCAGGGTAGGAGATCATGGCCCTATTACTACCAACTGGGATTTTATAAATTGTTCTATGTTGTATATACTCTCTGTCTCTAATTGTTCTTCCATTCATTCTTTTTTTCTTTAACCTTTTTATTATGGAAAATTTCAAATACATAAGAAAAAAATAATAGTATGGTGAAGCACCACATACCCACTCTCAGCTACAAGTCACCCACTCACAGCCGCTGCTTCTCCTACAGTCTTCTCTCATCTCTGTTTTTTTATTTTTATTTTTATTTTTTTGAGACACGGTCTCATTCTGTTGCCCAGGAGTGTGGTGGCACGATCTCAGGTCATTGCAACCTCCATCTCCCAGGCTTAAGCGATCCTCCCACCTCAGCCTCCTGAGTAGCTGGGACTACAGGCATGCCAACACACCCGGCTAATTTTTGTATTATTTGTAGAGACTGGGTTTTGCCATGTTGCCCAGGCTGGTCTCGAACTCTTGGGTTCAAGCCATCTGCCTGCCTCGGCCTCCTAAAGTGCTGGGATTACAGGCGTGAGCCACTGTGCCCGGCCCCTCATCTGTTAATAACTACTTTATCATCCCTGTTTCCCTGGCCATAACCGTAGCCTGGGAGATGGAGGTTGCAGTGACCTGAGATTGTGCCACCACACTCCTGGGCAACAGAGTGAGACCCTGTCTCAAAAAAAACAAAAATAAAAATAAAAAAACAGATGAGAGAAGACTGTAGAAGACCTTACTTTCTGCTATACCCACATTCAATCCCTCAGCAAATCCGGAAGGCTGTGCCTTCAGAATATATCCCAAATCCAACTACTCATCACCCTCACTGCTGCTACCATGGTCCAAGCCTCCACCATTTCCTACCTGTATTATTTTTGTCTTGCCTTCGACCTTGTTCCTTCCCAGAACCCCTTCAGTCTATCCAACACAGCCTCCAGAATGATTTGTTACAGTGTAAGTCAGATCGCACACTTCTCTGCTCAAAAGACACCAGTGGGTGGCTTCCTGTTCACTGAAGGGAAGAGCCAAAACCTTTCCGGTGACCTCCCAGGCCCTGTACAATTTGTCCTCTCCCTTCCCCATGTTACTTTTCTGACCTCTTTCCTACCCTCTCCCATTTTCTCCTGCTCCTTCAGTCACCCTGGCCTCCTTGCTGCTCCTGAAACACACCAGGCCTGTGATAGCTTAGGGCACTTGCTGTACCTGCTACCCAAAATGGTTTCTCCAAACAACCACAGAACTCACTTCCTGACTCCCTTTACCTCTTTACTTAAATATTACCTTAGTGAGACCTTTCCTGGCTGCCGTATTTAAAATTGTTTTAATAACTCCCCACCTCTGATGTGTACACTCCTTGTCCTTCCCATTTTCTCTTTCTTCATAGTATTTATCACCATTTAACACTGTATTTTACTTACCTTGTTTATTTCTGTCTTCCCCCACTGGAGCATAAGCTCTCCAAAGGCAGGGATACTTTTTTAGTTCTCTGTTCACTGCTGAATCTCTAGGGCTTGGAACAGTGCCTGGCACACAGTAAGCCCATAAGTGAACTGAATGAATGCTTCATACTTCTGTTGCCTATCTATTAGGGCTGTACCTTTAGCAGAACAGTTTTGCCTGTCTGCTTCCATTCCACGCTGAGTGAAAGTATAATGGAAGGGTTCTAACTTGAGGTGTTTGGACTTGCAGGGAGTCTAAAATGGACTGTTATAAACCTCTTGAAATTGTATAAAAACTTGTGTATGTGTGTTTTTCTTGAGAAAGGCTCTATGCTTGTCAGCTGACTCTGACATATGTGACTTAAAAGGTTGAAATTTGCTGGTAACATAAAAAGAGCACTGGACTTAGAACTAAAGAATTTGAATTTGATTCCCGACTGCATACTTTATATAAGTCACTTCCTTGAACTTTGTCTATAAAATGGAAATGGTTATACCTCCTTCATTCCCTACTTTAGAAAATGATTATAGGATTGAAAGGAGATAGCATGTATGAAAACCTTACTGAACAAAGTTTAAGGAATATATCTCACAGGTGCAGAGCATTTTCAAAGCATTTCATATGCATCCTGCTAATAGGCCCCCTGTTGACAAAATGCATTTCAAATTGCTTTTTCTACTCAGGCACAGACGTCTTGCTCTGTTGAAGCAAGTCAGTATCCGAGAAAACTGCTGTTCCCTTTGTTGTGATGAGGTAGCAGATACACAATTGAAGCCATGTGGACACAGGTAAGAGGATTTGTTTGGTTGTTCCCTCTTTTGTACATTAGGCAAAGTTTCATGCTGTTCTTGAATTGCTAGTTCCATAGCTGGGCGAGGGCAGGTTTTTTTGAGATGGAGTCTCGCTCTGTCGTCCATGCTGGAGTACAGTGGCACGATCTCAGCTCACTGCAACCTCTGCCTCCTGGGCTCATGCAATTCTCCTGCCTCAGCCTCCCAAGTAGCTTGGATTACAGGCGCATGCCACCAGGCCCAGTTAATTTTTGTATTTTTAGTAGAGCCGGGGTTTCACCATGTTGGCCAGGCTGGTCTTGAACTCCTGACCTAAAGTGATCCACCTGCCTCGGCCTCCCAAAAGTGCTGGGGTTACAGGCATGAGTCACCACACCCGGCCTACAATATAGAAATATTTAATATAATTACTCAAATAGGCCAGAGGCAGGAGGGGCAGTTGTCACTTTCTTCAAGAATGCTGAGAAAGCATTTGTTAAAATTCGATATCCATTCCTAATGGATGAAATATTACAAAACAGAAATGAATGGAGGGACGAAAACAATATAAAAGAGGAGTGGATGGATACTTCCGTAACAATATAAAAAACACATCTATTTCAGCCAAAGGCTAGCATCTTTTTATTTTTTTATTTTTATTTTTTATGTATTTTTATTTTTATTTTTATTTTTTGAAATGGAGTCTTGCTCTGTTGCCCAGGCTTGAGTGCTGTGGCGCAGTCTCTGCTCACTGCAACCTTCACCTCCCAGGCTCAAGCAATTTCTCCTGCCTCAGCCTCCCAAGTAGCTGGGATTACAGGTGCCCGCCACCACACCCAGCTAATATTTGTATGTTCAGTAGAGACAGGGTTTCACCAGCTAGCATCTTTTTAATGGTGACACGTGGGAAGCATTTCAAGAGATGTTGGGAACAAGATAAGGATGCCTACTGTCACCACTATGACTTACAAAATACACAAAACTCAGTCGTTTCTCTAGCTATATGTATAAATAGCAGCCAATTAGAACATATAATTGGAGATCCCTTTTACAATGGTTAAAAAAAAAAGGCTAAGAATACAAAGCAAGAAATATGTAGAGCGTATATGAAGAAAACTTTTAAACTACCAAAGAGTATAATAGAAGACTTAAATAAATGAGTCCTTTCTTGGATAGGAGGACCTCTCAGTATTGTAATGGTGACAGTTTTCTCTAAACTCTAAGTTTAATTTGGTCAACGTAAAAAGAGCAACATGATTTTTTTCTGGAACTTGACATGCTGATTTGAAAGTGTAAAGCAAGAAAATTCTGAAAGTTATGGAGATGACAGCCATACCACGTCTTAAAATACATTAAAATAAATGTTAGTAGTTTGGTCCCATTATTATTATGACAGGAATGGCAGAATAATGGAATACAATAAAAGCCCAGAAATAGAACTAAAAATGAAAATTTACCATATGACAAAGGCATTGTGTCAAAACTGTGGTAAAAGATGGACTGTTTGGTAAATGATTCTGGGATAAATGGCTTTCTGGGGAGAAATAATATATCCCTACCTATATGTACACATCTGTATGTATATGTTGTGCACGTATAGAGTGTCTGAAAGAATGCATATGAACTTTTTACTTGTTCCTCAGACTAAGACAATTGAGGATCAGAAATGTAAAATGTACTTTTTATTTACATATTCATTTTTTTAAACCATGTATAATTATTAACCCTTTCAATGAACAAACTTGTTAACATTTTAGATTTAGTTGGCAGGCAGTTGGAGTTTGACCTTTTGAAGCATTAAATTGACTGGCTTTTCTGTGTTTCTCCCCAGTGACCTGTGCATGGATTGTGCCTTGCAGCTGGAGACCTGCCCATTGTGTCGTAAAGAAATAGTATCTAGAATCAGACAGATTTCTCATATTTCATGACACATGTGAAGAGGCATCGTGGACTTTTTTCTACTCAATTCCAGCCAATGTTGAAAAGAAAAAGAAAAAAAACTCTCTAATCAGTTGTACACATACTGAAACTTATAGCCATGGCCAGATTTTATGCTAAAAATGGTAGTTTGTCAAAGACAAAATTCTCTTAGAATCTAATCCAACTTGCCAGCCCTGAAAAAATCCCTTTAAGGCCACGGAAAGCTGAATGCTAGCAGCCAGGCCTGTGGTACTTCCATGAAAAACTATAGGAGACAATGCCCTCCCAAGTACTGAAATCACACTGGAATCCTCCATGTTGGGTTCATTTGATTGTTTAACACAGGACGTGTTGTGTCATTCTGAAGTTTTTATTTGGGGCAGAAGTCTTTATGGAGATGTAAATGACAGCATTTCTGGGTTATGCATAACTTCTCACTGGTTGGAGAGACACCGGTGCGTTAAGCATGGATATTGCATTGCAAGACTTGAATCTATAAACATTAGAATCACACAGTCAGTACTACAAGCAAAACAGAGAACCTGAAAGAAGGTGCACAGACTGTAAGAAAAAACCCAAGTTTGTGATATTTCAGTGATTCCAAAGAACATTCTAGGTTTTTTGTTGTTTTTTTGTTTTTTTGGGTGTTTTTTTTTTTTACTGCAGAAAATTGGTGGTATTTTCATATTCATAGTGTTCCTATCCAATTTCAGTACCCACATTTTATGAGGAAAAAATGTTTTACCAATGCAGGAGGAATTCTTAAATTAGCTGTAATGTTAGGTTGGAGAAAATTTGGTATTTAGGGTATTTTTAAGGTACCATCAAATCAGATTTCTGTTTTTTTGTTAAAAAAAATTTTTTAATCAGTATTGTTTTTACAAGTAATATACTTTGAAACTCTTGAACTAATAGTCTCACAAACTCTAGAGGACAGTCTGAGAACACGTATTTCTATTGTTCTAAATAAATACATGTTTTCGAATAGTAAGTTCAATCATGAATTATTGACTATGTCTTCATCAAAAGTGTTAATCCCTCTCAGGGTCTCTGGTGAAGACCTTCAAGAGTTTGGTTTTTTCTCCCAGGAAATTGGAAGGTAGAATTGTAAATTCATAGAACTTCTTTTATAATGGTGTACCTCTGCAGCTGCCTTTCAATTTATGCCAAGTCCTTACAGAGTTTATACTTGAATAGTAAATATGTCTTCTGAGTTTTACAGTGTCTTAAACTCAATGCACATTTTTTTTCTTCTTTTTCCACCCCTTCTTGTTTATAGTTCATTATACCTGTCCTATTACAGAGCTGATTTCCTTCCTGGCTGTACATGTTGGGGTGCTGGATTTTTTCCCATGTCTTTAGTCTTCCATAAATCCAAACAAATATATATATATATATATAAAAATATATATGTAGATACATGTTCTCTTCTTTAGCTTGTGGTGAATACAGTAATTTGCATTGAAGAATAAAACATCTGTTGCCTTTTTTGACTAAGATTTCACAACTTTCATTGGTATATACTGCTAAGGTTCCAAGACATTATACTCTCAGACTTTAAGGGCTACTTTTGGGAGTAGGAGAGAATCAAGTATTAGAATTAAGAATAAGGCTAATCACTTACTTATCCAGCAGATTGTTATTGAGCACCTAATATGTGCTGGGCACTGTGCCTATGTGGCATACAAAATACCTGTTTGTAGAGCTTATGTCTAATAAGCTTGTCTAATTATTGTCTATTATGTCTAATAATAACTTGGAAGTGGTCCAGCTGAGACTAAAGGTAGTCTGTACATTTAGTGGAGAGAGGGAAAAATAGATGGAATTAATAGATAATTTGCCAGGCAAAGGAATGCAGGAGCCTAACAGCTTTCTAAAAATCTACCCTTGAAGTTTGTTCCTAAGGTAGGGAGAAGACAATGTATTTGTGTTTATTGTAACAAATTTTTAGTGGAAAAGAATAGGGTCCTAGAGAGAATGAGGGGGAACTAATTTAGATGGTGGTGGGAGTGTCAGAAGAAACCTCACTGAGGAAGTAACATTAGTGAAACTTAAAGGAGGAAGTAGGACATAGCCTGGCAGAGACTGAGGACTAGCTTCTAGGACTGGGTAGCTAGGCGAACACAACATTACAGGCAAAGGCACTAACTGAGGAAGAACGGGTCTCAGTGGGTTTGGGGATCAGATGGAAGGCCCTTGTAACTAAAAAAATAGGAAGCAAGTAGGTAGAGTAGATAATGCTACAGTGTTGAGTAGGTAATGCTACAGGCCAGGGAACTGCTCATGAAGGCTATGTGAAGGGTTTTCTATTTTATACTAAGTGCAGTAGAAAGCAAAGGTGTTTAAGCATCTTCGCCTTGATAATTCTAACAGATGACTCTGGCTTCTATTTGGGAGAATGAAATGGAGGAGTGGGGTGAGCTGGGGGTAAAGGATAAGCAAAAAATGTAAATAGACCAGTAAAGAAACGTGTGGTCCAGCTGAAACTAAAGGTAGTCTGTACATTTAGTGGAGAGAGGGAAAAATAGATGGAATAAATAGATAATTTGCCAGGCAAAGGAATGCAGGGGTCTAACAGCTTTCTAAAAATCTACCCTTGAACTTTGTTCCTAAGGTGGTTTACTTTTCCTATTCTTCTAGATCATAAAAGGGCTTCAATATGAAATCGATCAAATCATCCAGGATGGAAGCTAAGTTGTAAACTTGGAGCCACCTCCAAGGGAAAGACAGGAATTCCATATCAAAGAAAAAACTAGGGGTTAGCAAGCTATGTGGAAGAGTAAAATCGTACATCCATATTCTGAACTGAATGTAAGCATTTAAGAGAAAAGCTAGACTTTTACTACTGATAAATGGTTACCAGGGAGAAAAACAAAAAATGATGGTATTTTGTCAGGTGATTCATTGGGGAAATCCAGCATTTCAGCCAAAAAAAATTGTAATGAATTAGCCCCTTTTAAAAATGACATAGAGCAGAAATCATGGTGCCATTTGCAGAGTGCCAGGAAACAATGATTCACAAAACTGACAAAATTTCACTAGCAGAAAATGACTTTTACACAAGTTTCAACCATCTTGAATGTGTATCCACGAAAAACCAACTAAGATCAGGTCTTTCCAAGATTGCCCATCATTTACCTTTTGCTATTCACTCAGAAGAATTCCTAGTGCCAACCCCCAATAAAAGGATTTAAAAAATGAGTATTAATGGAAAAACATTTAGTATATTCAAGTCAACTTTTAATTTTGCTACAAGTGGAAAAAGACCATTCTGTATTCAGGAGAAAACACGTTCTGATTTCCAAGAATATGGTTTAACAACCCAGGGATTAGGGGCTATACAGCACGATGGTTGAAATAGGCCTTTTGGGTGGGACTGGACCCAGGTCCCACTAATGCTTGGTTTTCCAGACTGTAAAATGGAGATACTCATACCAGTTTTTTGTTTTTACGGGGTTTCAGATATTTCAAAAGGAGACAATGTATTTATAAATGTTTAGCACACTATCTGATACATCCCTGAGTGGGTACATTTTATCTTTATCCCCATTTGTTCCTAGAGTCAATAAGGGTGGTGAAATGGATTAAAAGATGGCCACAAATTATTTGACATCCCTCCCGTCAAGAAATGAGGTTTATGTCCGCTCTCCTTAAATTTGGGTGGCTCTGTGTCTGCTTTATCAGTGGAACACAGTGGAAGGGATACTGTGCCAGTTTCCAGTACCAGGCCTTTAAGTGACTGCCAGCTTCCATTTCTGTGTCTCTTGAAACACTTGCTCTTAGACCCAGCACCATGGTGTGAGAAAACCCAAGAATCCCCTGAATCCTATACATGGGGAGGAACTTGGACCCCCAGCCCCCGGCCCCAGTTCTCTGGCCAATGTCCACAACTGAGAGCCAAGAGCCAACACTAATTTGCCAGCCACATGAGTAAACTCCTTGGAGGGAGCTCCTCTAGTCCATTCCAGCTGCCCCAGCCGACACCAACTGGAATAGAGACTAGTGGCCCTGCCAAGCCCTGCCCAAATTACAGATTAGTGAGCAAAATGGTTATTTTAAGCCACTAAATTTTCAGGTTGGTTTGTAACAGCAATAGATAACCAGAACAGATTAAATCAAGGTGTGTTCCTCCTCCACTCCATCAATGACTTAGGAAGGGTAGGCAAATTCATTTTGTCCAGAAATGTGTGGTATATAGAGAAAGGTCATAAAGAAATTATCTGAGTTTGCTGTGAGCTGTGTGACCAGGGCTTGACTAAACTCAGTCCAGTAATTCAGCAAACCTTTTAAAATGCCTATCTTCCACTTGGTGCTAAACAGAGTAACTCATAATTGATGTCACCTGACCGGGCGTGGTGGCTCACGCCTGTAATCCCAACACTTTGGGAGGCCGAGGTGGGCAGACCACCTGAGGTCAGGAGTTCAAGACCACGCTGGCCAACATGGTGAAGCCCCGTCTCTACTAAAAATACAAAAATTAGCCGGGCGTGGTGGTGCACGCCTGTAAGTCCAGCTACTCGGGAGGCTGAGGCAGAGGTTGCAGTGAGCCAAGTCTGCGCCACTGCATTCCAGCCTGGGCGACAGAGCAAGACTCCGTCTCAGAAAATGAAATAAATAGGCCGACCACAGTGGCTCACGCCTGTAATCCCAGGACTTTGGGAGGCCGAGGTGGGCGGATGACCTGAGGTCGGGAGTTCAAGACCAGCCTGACCAACATGGAGAAACCCCGTCTCTACTAAAAATACAAAAAAAAATTAGACTGGCATGGTGGCGCATGCCTGTAATCCCAGTTACACGGGAGGCTGAGGCAGGATAATCCCTTGAACCCGGGAGGCAGAGGTTGTGTTGAGCCGAGATTGTGCCATTGCACTCCAGCCTGGGCAACAAGAATGAAACTCCGTCTCAAAAAATAAATTAGTAATAATTGATGTCACCTTGGTCACAGCTGTCACACCCAATTGTGTCTTTGTAACCATCTTTGTTACAGATCCCACGGATATCTATTTTACGTCCATTCAAAGATGCCTGCTAGGCCGAGCGTGGTGGCTCACGCCTGTAATCCTAGCCCTTTGGGAGGACAAAGTGGGTGCATCACCTGAGGTCAGGAGTTCGAGACCAGCCTGGCCAACATGGTGAAACCCTGTCTCTGCTAAAAATACAAAAATAGCCGGGCGCGGTGGCGGATACTTGTAATCCCAGGTACTTAGGCTGAGGCACGAGAATCGCTTGAACCTGAGAGGCGGAGGTTGTAGCCAGCCAAGATCATGCCACTGCACTCCACCCTGGGCGACAGAACAAGACTCCGTCTCAAAAAAATAAAAATAAAAAATGTCTGCCAACCTATTCTGACCGGCCACCTGACCCTCAGTTCATACCTTAAATCCCTCTAGTTCCTCTAGTCATATACCGCACTTTGGCCAAAAGGTATCATGCAATTAAAGAGACACAATGCTTAGCTGTCCAATCAAGAGAAATCAGCTCAAACGAATCCTTTGTTTCAAAGTTTGGCAGTTTTGCAGAGGCCTTTTCCTGAAAAGTATATGATTCCTGATTGCGTGGCTCAAAACAGTTCTTCGACTCTCATCTTGTATAATTAGTCAAGAAACCAGTTACTGCCGAGTAAGCTTTATAATGAGAAGATTATAATGCAAATTACAAGGCATCTACTTCTTGCGATGGCGCTTTCCTTCCACGAGGGGTAGGAATTGTCTTGAAATCAGACGTCAGCATCACCTGGTTCAGGGATAAAGGACTGGCTCTCCAGCGACTTGGCAACTTACAAGCGCTCTTCAAAAGCGCCTTAGACTACTTAATTTTCCACACTCTGGGAGGGGCGATTTATTCTCGAGTTGCGAGCGAGGAAATTCAGGTTCGTGGCTTCGTTTCCTTTATCCGTAAAATGGGGGCGACTTAAGACTGAGTCGCCAAGCAACGCGGCCTAGGCGAGGCCCAGCATCCCTCCGCATTCCTTTCCGGGACTTCCTCTCCCTGTCTTGCCCCGCCCCGGCATCGGTGACGCGCGCCTGTGATTGGCTGCCGGCCCGCCGTGAGGCAGCGGAAGGGGTTGCAGTGGCCATGGTGACAGGAGGTGGGGCGGCAGTCACCTAGGCCTGGACCTGCGGCGTCGGCTGCGCGCGCAGAGTGCCCGGCGGGGCGTAGAGGCCGGGCGGACGAGTGGAAGCTGCGGGTATCCAAGGCGGGGCCTGGCGCGCAGGCGCTGACCCGACCTGGCAGTGAGGTGGCCGCGGCCTTGGCTGAGAGGCCTTAACCCCGCTGGCCGCCGCGCCCTGCATGCGAGTTGGGCCGCGGGCGCGGCAGGAGCCTACTCGGGGCGGCGGCGATGGACGCCTTAGAAGAAGAGAGCTTTGCGCTGTCTTTGTGAGTAGCTCCGCCAGGGGGCAGGTGACTTGGGGACGGGGACAGCGGGCGTTTGCCCGGGCCTGACCCTATAAAACAGGTGTCCTTAGGGGCGGGGCAGGGTGGGGGCCGCCAAGGCGCC